TGCTCATCTTCCCGATTGGCGAAGAAGTGGTAGAAGTGAAACTAACCAATATGGAAGGAGGAGAAATCACCGACGCACAGTGGCGAAGAATCGCATATGGGTCTGTCACTCCATTTGCGCTTCTACAGAGCCGGAAGAACTCAATGGACTCTTCGCACTACAGTAAAGACTAGTACTTGGTCCAAGATTTTTGTCCTTTTGAATTAAGGCTCAATTAGCATTTGAATTTTGTTAATAGTTCCTTGTACTCATTTATACCTTTTCTATTGACTAATTGATTAGGATATGTATAATGGGGATTGCTGAAGATAGTGGGAAAGCTGTTTCATGACTCAAAATGAGATGGTTGATTGTACAGAATAATTTGATTTGTCTCGTCATTTTTATGTATAATTCTGCTAGGAAATATTCATTTAACTGTGAAGGATATTAGCTGTTATGTATCTTTGAAATTTGTTGTTTACATATTTCTTGCACATATCTCTAATGTGATATTGTATGAGGGAATGTGGTTGAAATTTTGGATGCATTAGATTTTTGAGAGAATGTACACATAGCAATGAGAAGGTTAACCATTTCTTCATATCTATCACATTGCCTTAACTCCCTTCAGTTCTCTATCGCCCTACCATGTTGCAAACACTGTAAGAGTATTTGTGTGTCTATAAGGTCTTTAAATTTTCTCTTAAGCGTGTTATCAATTGTTGGAATATTCAACGAAGATCACCATGGAATTGCAGTAGCACAGCAGATCACCTCCAGGCAGCACGTGCAACATGAGAACCAGTTCAATAGCACAGCAAACTAGTTCAATTCAGTTCCTTCTAGCTTCTTCTAGTCTCTTCTTATGTTTGTTATATTGTTAGTTTGTTAGATAGTTTGTTAACTATTTCCTCTATAAATAGAATAGATTGCAATATAATTTCCTTAAGTTTGAATGAATGAGAGTTCATCTACTTCCCTGCTTCTAGCAGGCTTATCATCTTATTTCTGTCATTTTTTTCCTCTGTTTATTTTCGTTCAATAATTTCAGCTTCCCTTCCTTGATTTTATCATGGTATTAGAGAGGTTCTTTCCAATGGCACAGAAAATGGCAAACGACAGCTTAGATACCACAAAGAAGGAAATGGAGGAGATGAAGGCGGAGATGCACCGTCTCTCGAGCTTGGAGAAAATAGTGGATCAGTTGACCCAAGACATGGCAAATATGTTACAATCAACGGAGGAAACTCAGAAAGCTGTAGAAACACTTATTCATCCAAAGACAGGATTGCACAAAGGTTTCGAAGGTGAAGGTTCCGGCAGTCTCACAGAGGGACAGGCGCCAATCTACGCACATCGGGCAGAATTTCGAGCCCCAGAGAGAAGAAAATGGTTGGAAGGTTCAGGGGATGTTCAGATTTTGATGCTACCGGTGCATAACCTTCTAGATCCGCTGGAGAGGATTTTCATCAATAGAGTGCAATCTGAAATTTGTAGAGAAGAACTGATGCTTGAACCTGGATTGTGCTAGATAATGGAGTTGGCATTTAAGGTGGAGGATAAACAAGTTGAGTTTCCCTCATACGGACTCAAATTAGATTGGGTTCAATCCACTGTAAAGGGGCTGTGTTTAATTACAACCCAATTCTGAATAAAGTGGGTCCAATTTGAAGTAAATGTCCAGGCCTATTTTACAACAGCCCAGTTTCTGGTTAGGGAAAAGTTTATGGCTCAGGTGTTTAGTTTGTCATTTTAAAAAATCAGGTGCTAAACTTTAAAATTGTAAAAATCAGGTTTCTACTTTTTATTAATTAATTAAATATTTAATTGTGTAATCTGATATCATATATCTTATTAATTAGTTAAAAATTAATTTCAGGTCACAGCTTATCAAATTAATTGGTCTCGGATTATTTCGAGGTCACA